TTGCGTGTCTCATTCCCTGAACAGTTACCCAAGTCGAGCCTGTTCACCAGATTGCTGAACGTTGAAACAACCTGGTCTGGGGCCAGGATACTTTAGGAATCTTGGCTGTGCTCATGCCAGACTATTGGCAGGAAACCGGATGAGTGCTCCAGGCCCCAATGCCAGAGGCCAGCAGCCTTGTCCCTGCTATGATGCCTGGCTCCTCACCAGGCAAACATGGGGCCTCTGCCTCTGCTGAGATGATGCTTCTATTCTGCTGTGCTGGCTAAGAGAGCTATATCCAGCGACCTCCTAAGTGGCTACTGTTGCTAAAACATTGTTTATTTCATCATTTAAAATCTCTATTTGGGTGTTTTATTGCATATATAGCATATTAAATTACAGGTTATGTGTATAATTTGTAAATATATAAACATGTTGAAGAGAGTTATTTTCTGATGGCAGTTTCCAATCAAAAAAGTTTAGATATCACTTCTCTATGAGCAAAAGTTCTAGAAAGAGTCCCTAGGCCCTTTCCCAAAAACAATTAAAAAGTTTATGTCCAAAAGTCAAGAACCACCTTGAAACAGCTCCAAGTAACCAAAATGAAACAATTTAAGCATGAATAAAATGGATTAAAGCATATCAAATAAGTTAAAAATCAATGAATTCATAATGACATTTTAAAAAATAAACTCAATGGTCATCTTTGAAGGATGTTAGTGAACCAATTAGTTATTATGGAAAGAATTAAGCATTGAGCCTGACCTCTTTCTTGTGTGAGCTATACCCCAGGGTACCAAATACTTGATGAGGGAAAATTTCTCTCTCTCTTCAATCTAACTCTCTCAGAATAATAAAATTAGAATATCATCATCTGGAAAATCTTAAATTAAATAAGAGCTAGGCTATGAGTATCAATGGTCATTGTCACAAGAAGACAAATAACTAAAGATGATGTGTCTCCTCATGGAAGATATAGTACCATATGTGTGACTATTCTGCCAAAAACTCAAACCTGAATCACAGCAAACATCTACATCTAATACATAAGCTTAGGAAATACAGAGGTCTGCAGAATATGTTAACATCACCATGGGAATACAGTAAGCAAACCAGACCGTGGGAGACTCAACTGGGAAGATAACCCTCTTTCTTAAACAAATATACACTGTATTTCAATGAAAAAATAAGAGGGAAAAAATATACAGCTTAAAAGAAACTCAAGACACACAAACTAAATGCAACTTATGGACTTTTTTTGCATTCTCATTTGAACAAACCAAGTTTTAAAAAAATTATGAAGCAATTGGGGAAATGTGAACATTGACTATATAATAGGTGATATTAAACATTGTTAAAGCCGGGTGCAGTGGCTCACACCTGGAATCCTAGCACTCTGGGAGGCCGAGGCAAGTGGATTGCTTGAGCCCAGGAGTTCAAGACCAGCCTGAGCAAGAGCAAGACACCATCTCTAAAAATAGGCAGGCATTGTGGCAGGTGCCTATGGTCCCACCTACTTGGGCGACTGAGGCAAGAAAATCACTTGAGCCCAAGAGTTTGAGGTTGCTGTGAGATATAAAGCCATGGCACTTAACCCCAGGGTGACAAAGTGAGAGTCTGTTTTAAAGAAAAAAAAAATTATTAAAGTTTTAGGTGTGGTCATGATTTCATGGTAATTTTTAAAGTCTTTCTCTTTTACAGATCTATACTGAACTACTTGTGGATGAAATATCATAGCTGGAATTTCCTTCAACATGCTCCAGTGTGGGAATGGGGAAGTACAGAGTATAATTGAAACAAGAGTGGGCATGAGTTTGTGATTATTGCAGCTACATAGTTTGTAAGTTCAGGTTTATTATGCTATTCTGCCTTAGTATATGATTGTAATTATCATAATTAAATTTTTGAAGCCTAAAAAAATGTTATACTTTGAGAAAGCATATGCTTTTTAAAAATTATGAATCATGTACCTTCTAGTTTTCACTAAAAATTAAGGTTACGTTTGGTATATGTACACCATGGAATATTATGTAGCCTTAAAGAAAGATGGAGACTTTACCTCCTTCATGTTTACATGGATGGAGCTGGAAAATATTCTTCTTAGCAAAGTTCCTCAAGAATGGAAGAAAAAGTATACAGTGTACTCAGCCCTACTATGAAACTAATTTATAGCTTTCATATGAAAGCTACAACCCAATTATAGCCCAAGAATATGGGGAAAGAGGAGAGGGAGGGGAGGGGAGGGCGGAGGATGGGTGGAAGGAGGGTGATTGGTGGGATCACCCCTATGGTTCATCTTACAAG